CTATACCCTAAACAAAACCTGCACATGTGAATCAAGAATGTCATGAAAAACACAGCTCCCCGCACATACATACATACATACATACATACATACATACAGACATACAGACAGACAGACAGACAGACAGACAGACAGACAGACGGGCGGACAGACGGACAGACATTACATATCATATCATTACATGCAGTCATACAGTCTCACAGTCATACTTTCGTACATGTGTACGTACATTCATTCATACGGTCATATCATACCTTCGTACATTCGTACGTTCATAACTTCCTGCGCACTTACTTACTTACTTGCATACACCTATACATACACGTATACATATACATGTACATACATCTACATCTACATCTACATCTACATCTACATCTACATCTACATCTACAACTACAACTACATCTACATCTACATCTACATCTACATCTACATCTACATCTACATATACATATACATATACATATACATAGACATACACATACATACATACATACATACATACACACACATACATACACACATCCACATACATACACTCAGGCAGGCAGGCAGGCAGGCAGGCAGACGGACAGACGGACGGACTGACCGACAGGCAGACAGATAGAAGACTGACGGACTGACAGACAAACAGACATACACTGTGCACGATGCGCACGCACCATCACGATGGCAGCGGAAGGATACAGGCTCGATTGGCCGCAGACAGAAACACGAGACGTTACAGAACCCAATGTTCACAAGCAACCTGAAGACCGGGGCGTACGAAATGGCATCCACTAGCATCCCCAATCTAAGCGGAAAAGGTAATAAGCTTCCTGCACAGACTTAGGCGAGCACTCACTGTTTAAACCCTAGCGAGGAGAGGCGAGACTTCATCGGATGTGCCGAAAGCATGAACCATGAACCTCATCAGACTGTGACTAAAGCGAGACCGTAAAGCCCTCAGGTGCAGCGATTTGCCACACAAGTGTTGATGACGCGCTCGTGTGCGCGTGCGATGTCAGCGGACACGGCAGAAGGAAATGATGCAATGTTTCGGATACTCGGGAATCAAGGACCAAGCACAAAGCACAGGAAACGAACAACAGCTGTTTTCAAGAGCACAACTTGAAGGTCCAGTTTGCTGCAGCTTTCTCGCGCTTAGTGACAATAGGCGACACACAGCGTGCTCGCACTTACCGAGTGTGGCCAGGAAGTACGGGTGAGTATGAAAACAACTGGGAGGAGGAACTCGTTGCATGCGGGAGCTCAGACCCTTCGCTTTGGAACCCCCGCTGGCTCGACATTGAGCCGTGAACTTGTCAGGCTCCCCCCCTTGGCCCAAATCATGAGTGCCGTCGTTCGTTGTTCTGTCCGCACTCAGCCCGCCAAGTAGCTTAGCAGAAGAAGTAGAACGACGTTTCCGCAACCCTGTTGCACACAGACATACATACGTTCAGCCAGACAGACATACATAGACAGACAGACAGACAGACAGACAGACAGACAAACGGACAGACAGACAGACAGACAGACACAGACAGACACACAGACGCACAGACACACAGACAGACACACAGACACAGACAGACACAGACAGACGAACAGACAGACAGGCACAGGCGGACAGACAGATAGACAGACAGACGCGCGTATATACCCATACAGATCAATATACCTACCTGCATGCGTACGCAGATGCTGACACACACACACATACATACCATCAGCGCGCTTGTCCGTCCGTCGCCGTCCATCCAAACATAATGAATGCACGATTGCAGGATTGAGTTGACACAAGAACATGTCTGTCACAAACTGGGCCGATGAAACCAACGTAAGGAAAGGGCTCATCCCCTGCAAGCTCCACGCTGACCGACGTGGTAACCTAGCAGGAAACTGCAAGGAAACATCTGAGCAAAGCTCCACGCGCGCCGATGCCCTATCGGAATAGCTTCGCGCTTCCTTTCGACCGCATAGACCGAATAGAAATCAGCACAACCTTAGGCCTGAAATCTGGCGCGCCTGCCATCTTTGACGGCATCGCCAAAAGCTGGCAGTCATTCGCTCACCACTGAATGCCGGCAATCACAGCCATCCTATGTCGACGATATCGCTGCCACGGCGGATTGATTTTTACAGTTCTTGACTTTCTTGCAGTTGACCCCTTTTGAAACTTGAAAATTTCCTACCGCCCTAAGAAGTTGAAGAAGCCACCGGTTAACGCATCAGAATTTCAAGGTGGAACTATCTGAGCTTGAAGCGCTTCGCGTTCTTGCGCACACTCGATGTGGCGGTTCGGAGGTTGTTCATGAGGCCCTTCTGCTCGTGTGCCCGCCACGAAGGCTTCCACAACTACCAGCACGAGCTTGACCAGTATCTTGCGCATCCTCTGGCGACCACTTCGAGCACAAGAGGCCAGCCCCATCGTACTCGAGCTGAGCGTCTCACAGATGGAGCGGAGATGAGAGTCCAAGGCACAGCTATCCCTCGCAACAACCCAACTTCCGACTACAAGCATCCCAAAAGTCAGTGGCACACAGCCGGTCTCGGACACCAGGACGTCACTCTGCGAAACTGTTGCTATGCTCGGCCCCTGTGTGACGGAGCACGCCTCTCCCCCATGCGCGCCCGCATTGGCGGTGAAGCTACCTAGTGTGCAATGCATCAATCTCGACTAGGAGAACTTCGAGCTTGGGCTTGATGACAGCGACGTCCGCTGGCGATTGCAGCACCAGGCGAACACCGCGAGAGCATTCCAACATCGGCGAAACACGGCTTCTACATGCTTCTACATGCTGCTACTCCTGCGCCGCTTTCTGAATGAATTAAACGGCTTCAGTGCGCATGCTCGGGAGGTCTCTGTGACACACAACAACATGAGCCCTACAGTACCTCACACTCTCCGAGAGCAGCGCGAGCAAGACAGTTAATGGCACGCGAACCGCCAGCAGCAAGAGCAACATTGGCCTGCTGGCTAGGCCCGTAAAATGGCCAGCGTTGCATGAGCAACAGCGAGCTATAGCGAACTCGGTTAGATGGGAAGCTTTTGTGGTTATCCGGCAAGTATTGCATTGGAGATGGCGGGCGCCGCAGTGGGCCTCCAGAACTGCCAGAGCGGCCTCTCATCCAGCAGCCAATAGGAGAGCCTGGCCCCGACACCAGACAAAGCCCTAGTGATCCCGGTGATATCTTGGCCGGGCCGACTCGTTGGCACATGTCCACGCTTCCCGGTAGAGGGTCAGATAGAGCGGTGCCTGGCACTTCCCTAGGACGGATTGAATAAACTGCAAGGCAACCGCAACAGACCTCGCCAGCTGGGCCAACAACAGGGGGCAGGTTCCATGTCACATCTAAGCCCTGCGGGTCTGGGCACATCTGCAACGTTGAACTTTTTGATGGTTAGCTGACCAAACCCTGGATTGACTGCTCTTCCATTGCCCAACCTCGGCCTCCGTGGTGCAACATCTGTCTTCGAGCATTTAGAGTTTTATACTGGATTTATATAGTTTTATCATCCTCCATCAGGGGCGGAGAGGTGAAGACACAGACCTGCAGAAACCAATGCACCCGATTCTGGGCTGCTGCAGGCAAGCGCCTCCCAAAGTAACGTTGCCAGCCCAAGACCTGATGATACGCAGTAGGGCGGGGGCATGCGCCACGTGAACACCCGAGACTTCATGTGTTCCTCGGGGACAAACCGGGAAGCTCAAGCATGGCCCCCATCAGGAAAATACTGAGACAGGTCGCATTGCGAATCCAGAGCCTGAGTCAAGCAGTGCTAGAACTTGATAACAGTGCAGGGCTGCACCGTCCAAGCACAGCTAAGTATCGCGCACCAGAAGTGTTGCCTTGCAGAATAATATCTAACATCGAGTACTGCAAGCCTTCCAGCAGCGAAACGTGGCTGCCATGCCCACTTCGCCATGCAGGAACATCCATGCCAACAACGACAGCTAATTAGCCTCGCGGTTGAAGCGGTGTGAACCTCTTTCTCCTCTTAGTCCTGTCCCCCAGTCCCCGCTACTTTTTCTAAGTGGGCCACTCACCTCTGCCCCACCTCCTCCCCCCCGGGCACTTCCCCTACAATTTGGATTTTGTTCCGAAGCTCACGACCCGACATCCTGAGCGTGGAAAGAGTTCGCTCAAAAACCCGAATCAAAAATCACGCTTTGTCCCGCCTCGACGACCCCCCCCTGGACTACTCAGTCTTCACTCGAGGCGGACGACGCCAGCAAACGCGAAGCGTTCAGAACTGCAACGGGCCCATGCAACGAGCATAGTGAGCTGGAGATCGTTGCTGAGAGCCCCGCCGATTTTTCGCAATTTGACCGTAGAGGTAGCCGACAATAACCTCGGCAACTGTTTTGCAATGGCTCCTTGTCACAATCGGGCGCAAACATTGGCAGGTTTGCCTGTGATAAAGTTGCCGCAGGAGTCCAAGTCCTGCTCCGAATGAGAAACACCCGGCACTCGACGTCTGATGGATTGTATTGTCCTCCCACAACATATTGGCATAGTGACCGGCTGCGATGGCCTTCGGACACCAGGAGACGCCAGCAATTCTGACGAGGACCAAGGGAAATGCATTTCAGCAAAGGCGGGGCACGGGCAAAGATCACTTGGTAGGCGAGGTTCCCGTGAAAAAGCCAATCCTGGAAGCAGCACTGCCGAAATTTGTAACCGTGCTCTCTCTACTTGTCCACGGCATCTCGGCCTCCCAATCTGAAGCTGCCATAAGCATGTCGATGAGCAACGGCAAGAACAACACAGCATTGACCTCAAGTTGCGACTGTGGATCAAAGCCCGTCGCGTCATGTTTATCCAAGGCGGCTGCAAACACACAGGCCCGGGATCGCCTGAGCCAACCACAGGCCAACGACACCGCAAAAAGCAACAGCACAATACCTGTAATATCGCATAACCGCCATCTCGAAACATCGAATTTGCTGAGAGGCTTCCGCCACCCAACCGACCAACTCATTGCGTAACGACTGCCGGTTATCCCCCAGGCGTCTGCCACGTAAAATGCTATGTCTTTCCGCCGCCCCCCCCCCCTTCCCTCAAGAACCAATTCTGCGCCTGTCCCAGTGCAGGTGCTTGCGGCCACATGGGGATATGGCCGACACATTCATGTCGGAAACGAAACAGGACATGCTGCATGAATCATCATCAATCGAACCACCGCAGCACAGTTTAGCATGTGATGTGCAACATCCCCGCCAACCGAAACGCAGCAGAGTAAGCAGCACGCGTGAGGCGCTTCCTGTCCAACTGCTTGCAACGTAACTCCAAAGTTTCCTACTCTAACGTGACAACATACCACTGCGTTCGGCGACGAACCTGTGCACCAGCAAGGTGCGACTCTTGTCCTCCATGGCCGCGAACACCGAAGGCCTGATACACGATTGCCGACATCAAAACCAACATGTTTGGATGATCTTTTGCAAATTGAGCAAGCCGAGCACCTGCAGGGGTCATTGTCCACCAGGAACAATGCTTCCTTCAATGTCCTGCATCACAGAATTGGGTGTTGCGTTTGTGCCGGTGAAACGATATAGAAACATGTTTTCTTGGTCGCACGCTTCTTTCCGAGCAGCATCCTCATCCGCGGTCCCCGTGCACGAGAACTGCGGCAACCGGCTGACTCAGGGCGCCGGCACGCATCTTGCGAGCACCGGAGGGCCGCCCCGGACTTTCTGGCGAGGCACCGCCAAGGGGACATACTGCTCCTCAACGACGTCCTCGCTGACTCCTCCGAGCAGCCCCTCGTCCCGCCAACATTTGCCAGCCGCATGCCAGCCGTTGCCTGGACTTTGGGCATGAGCACTGGGACCGCGGAGTGGACGGACATAAAACACGTGTGTATGGGAAAAAAATGGGTCCAGCGTTGGTCCGTGTCGCCGCCATGCGTGCCTTCGCGGCTGGAGCTGCTGCTGGGTGGTGACCTTTGCGATGCGGGAGAGGCGCCCGACCTCCACGAGGTCCGCGCGGCTGCAAACGCCAGGAGCGCAGACCAGCGCAACACAAATGGGGCAGAGCACGCCGCCCGCTATGCAAGGTGGGGCAAGGAGTCTGAACTCAGCGGCCTGGGGACTCCAGTGCCCACCAACCTCAAGGCCGAGCACGACAAGTCTTAAGCTGGGGCTCGTCTTGGACGAGCGGACGCGGCTCTTCTCCAAGGACGGGGGTTCAAAGCCAACGGCAGACAGCGAGTCGCAGGCAGTTTGAAGTGGCAGCGCCTCCGACAGCTTGCAAGCTGTGTCCCAAGTCCTGGACAAGTCGAAGGGCGAAAGGGCGGTCGCGCTTGAGCAGGGTTGGGCGGGTGTGGGCCAAGGAGTTGTGATGCGATTGAGTTTCGTACATAGTTGCACGATGTGTGACACCACACATTGTAAGTTCGTACAGCTTGTTTCACTGTTCTGACCGTGACCCACGGTCGTTTCTAGCATTCCTCTCTGTCGAGGTCGGCAAACACGGACTCGTATCTGCATCGCTGGACAGCACGTTTGCATGCGCGTCGATTACGGTGGCAACGCGGAGTCTGCGAACCAGCGCTTTTGTGCCCGCGCGGGTGCTGAGGCCATACTGACAAGGCATGCATGCGGATTGCAGCTCCGACGCATACTCCTGTGCGAGGGTGCGTCCGCCTAGCCGCCGCAGCACGTCGCCGACGACATCCGACGAGTAGGGCACGCACACGACCGTCGGGCTTGCGCATCGCAACGATGCGGCCGGCTCGGATGGCCGCGACGACGGGTACTGGCACATCAGCACGCGCAAGCCGCTCGGCAGTGCGGTGCAAAAGTGTGCAGTCGGCTTCGTCGTCGAGCAATTTGCGCAAGTGTTCGCTAGTGATGCCTGAGGGTCCAGCGGCCGAGCCTCGTTTCGCGGCGCGCAGGGATGCAAGGCACTGTTCCTCCGGCCTGAATGCGAGGAGCTCAGGGTCGGGAGAGGCGTAAGGAGTTTGGGGTCGGTTCGCGGGGTCTCGGAACTCTTGAAGCGTGTCGGAGGAACCCTGCGCGAGAGGTTGGGAGACGAGGGCCCGTGCGGCGGCTGACATCTGGCCAGGTGTCCGCATTCATTCGCCTTCCGAGTTGCGCAGACCAATGGCTGGGTGACACGTGTGGTCACGTGGAATCCCGAGTCGAACTAGCATGACAAGTTTTTTTTTACGCACACAAAGGCGCCCACTGACCCGATGGGATGATAAGCTGGGCGGGCAGTACCCCAAAGGTGGCACACGCGGAGCGGTGCTGAAGGAGGGGGTCGAGCTGCCCCCGACAGCTGCATCTGCGCGGCGCGAGCGGGAGTGGGAGATAGTTGGAACCGCAATCCAGCGGGGCACGAGCATGAACAGTTTCGATGCCCGTTCGGATCGAGCTGCCTTTGCTTCGATGGCTGCGGGGTTAGGCGCCCCAGCTGCACGGACCTCCTTAACAACTTGCGTCAGTACAATACGCACTGCTGAGCGCAAGGGAACGGCGGCGTGTCCTGCATTGTCGGCACATGTCGGCACAGGGTCTCGCAGTTCCCCCGCTAGATCGACAGCATGCAGCTGCTCCCAAATCCGTGCACCATCTTGTGCAGGCGGAGGACGGCCAAGCACTTCCGTATGCTCGCTGTTATTCCGTTCGCTGCTTGCTCGTGCAACCGCGAGCATTCGCTGGTGTTGGGCTCGCCAGAAACATCAGAAACCGCGAGCCCCCGACGTGGACGAGGGCACGGGCCGCTGCCACTGCCGCGACCGCTTAAGCTGCCAGCAAAATCGACTGGGTTGCGACGGACAAACAACCATCAAGGTTTCGGTGCTGCCGCCGCCAACTTCCAACGCGAGGATGACGAGGCGGCTTTCGCTTCGGATCTCAACATCCCCCCCCCCCTCTGCTGCGACCTGCTCTTTCTTCCCACGCCTTTCTAAGTCTACGTCTGCGACTTCATGCGAGTCGCCTCTGTACAGCAGCCTTGTGAAGAGGATCAGCTGGCGGGGAAACAGCTAGAGGGCACCGCTTCGGCATCGCATCGCCAACGGCAACGATCAAATCCCAGCTGCAGTACATCGCAGACTTGGGTTGCACTCGGCAGATCTCGGCAGCTGGTGACCGCCATGCTGGTTACTGGGCTTCCTGGCTCCCGCATGATTGTCTGGTTTCCTACTTGCTATATTATAATGGTTATGCAGTATGCAAACTTACATGAAGCTCGGCTCTGCAAAGCACACGTCTGCAACAAAAGTGACGCATGTCGAACCTTTTCTCCTGATGTTGCCTTTGTACCATTCTCGGCATCCCACATTCGTTCATCAGTTGCGTGCGCCACGAGACTATGCTACCATAAGCTGGCACTCAGAAGTATTCCATTATTCCTTGGCGCCGAAAACTGCTACTTTCGATGGTGGGGCACGCAGGCGGAAGGGGAGGCAGGGGGTGGAGGAGGCTGCGACGTTCGCAGCACACCGCTGCATCAAGCTCATGGGGGGGATTCGTCTGCGGGCCAGGCAGCGAGTGCGATGTTAAGGAAAGTGCGCAACCTGATACTCCTTCACGAGTGCGTCGGTGATCGCCGTAGCCGAAATAGCCAAATCATCGCTAAGAAGCTGCCACTCTCGGAAGAAAGACAACTCACTGTTGAGACCTGACTATGCCGGGCACAAAGGTGGCAAGTCGGAGACGGCTGGCAACCGGTTTCGTCAACACAAGTCGAAGTCAGGACGTCGCTGAGCGGAGGATTGTGGCGGAAGGGCAAGCAAGAAGAAGGCTCCGGCAGCTGACAACACAGACGGTGACCTGCGGCCATCAATGAGCTCAGAGCTCGAAGGAAGGGGCGGTGTCCACCGTTACCGTCACGATCCCGACATCGGAAATTGCAGTAGAATCGTCAGAACAGCGCTGTACTGTCCCATACAAGCTGACGAGCAGCCATGCAGTCTCCGTCCTCGCGCAAATCAAATAAGGCCCATGAAGGCCGGCAACGCCACGGGCAGATTTGTCATGATCGGCGGCCAAGCTGAGCATGTGCTTTATTCCCAAGATTCGACGGCGTCCAAGGCCGATCCTTGCTTAGATGTGGGACATCCCTCGTTCTTATTGTGAGCAGAACTCCGAGCTCCGGCGAGCAGTTTCTGCAAGCAGCTGAAGCTGATACGCAAAGTCGCGGTTTCCGTGTTTTCGAATCACGGATTCCAGCTTAAGATCGTCGACGGCACCTTTTGCCAAGGTGCTCACTAAGCTTACCAAATCACTCTACACCTAGCGTACTAAGCCCACAGTGTACCACACACTGCTTGGGGAACAATGTCATCCGGCAAAACTGGACACACGGTGCATCGCGTTCGGGACTACATGCTACCCCTCTACAAACACGCTTCATGGCAGTCGCAAGCCAATATATACGCCAAAAACAGCGCAACTACAAAAGGCAACCATTCAAGCCTGCCCCGTGTCTCGGAAAACAAACTCGAAAATGAGAAGGGTCGATTCGGAAAACGACCGAAATTCAGGAAAACTGTTCCGGTATACCGGGGAGACAGGTTCGGAAACTCGACGAAAGAAATGGGTAGCTATGATCGCGAAAACTTGAAACAAATCTAAAACGCTCAAACTCTGACAGACGGCCTTGGGTTGCAAACACCCAGACACGAACACAAAGAAAGCGGCTGCCAAACCTAAGGTAGTGACGGGCAAATCCCAAACCTCAAGGAAAACAACCCTAAACTTAGAAGACAAGTTTGGTGGGCAAACCCCAAACCCTACAAAGCGTGCACAGCGCAAACCCAAACCCAAAAAAGGTTTTAGGTGGCAAACCCAAATACGGACCCCAAGCCCTCAAGGGAGCTGTTGGTTGGCAAACCTCCAAACCCTATGCCGGATGACCCTACAAGAGAAGATACTGACTGACAACCCGCGCAAACCCTAAACGAACACGTGGGTGTCAAACACCACACCCGAAAAAGGAAGACTAACCCGAAACCCTAAACTGAGAATATTGCCGGCAAGCCGCAAACCCTAAGCCCTACAAGAACATCGAGAGTCCGGTCCAAAACACAAGGGATCCAGGTTGTGCGCACTGTAATTCAGCTCGCAGCATGCTTGGATGTGACCAGTGATGCTTTAGATAAGGCGTACTTCAGCAGCACGGGTAGAAATCTTATGCCGGAAAAGGCGGACGAGCGGCCACATTTGTCGATCAATCCTATATGCCTCCCGTCGCACATCTTTCGCAGTCGCACACAGCTGCAAGGCGAATTTATGCTCATGTTCGTGGAACAGATTGTCGACATCATCGTGCAATGCAGCCTTGCACGCCACATCGTCGCTCTTTGTCGTGTGATCCACTCCATGCCGTCGACTGCTATGACAAGCAATGCTACGGTCAGCTTCATTACGGTGACGGTGTTAAGTTTCACGTGACGACATCACATGATTCTTGCTCGTACTGGGGTCCCGAATGAAGGGACTGTCGTCGATCTTGGCGCTATCACGCTCGCTTGAGTAGAAACTAATGGGTTCATCGTCTTGTTGCTGACTTCTAACCACATCACACACTGGACCAGCTGGTCTGTGCTTGCTGCACGTTGTTCGAAATGCGAACCTTCTCTGTCAGGCTGAGGTGTTGTCGTGTTTTTTTCAATGAATGTTCTGGCCACCACTTCAAACAGCTGTCTACGTCTTGATGCCGCAGGGTCGTAGGGTTTGTTCAAACAGGTCTTGGAGGATGAACTGGGCGACAGCTATGTGGTCGAGACGTAGCATATATGTGTTGCTGAAGATATGCACCCGCATGTACCCTCATGCATCTCGTCGCAGAACCAATGTTGAAGCATGTCCTCGCTTTGCCCGGTGTCTTCTTCAGGCGCTCCAGATTTTCCAGTTTCTCATCGCTTTGCAGCAGAGGCTCCTGCTGTCCAGGAGCACCCGAACTATGCATGAAGCCGGAACCACGTGCGGCCTCAACTGGAAGCAGATGGTGCGCGACGAAGAAGAGAATGGACGTGCTCAAGAACAGCACCACCACAACGTCACCTCTCAAGCGCCCCTGCTCAGTAAAATGGAAAACCATCAGCTACCAACGGCCGACGGTTCTCAAACAGACGCACACATCCTGACGGTAATGAAACAAATCGATCGCTTTTCAAAAAGCGGCACCTTGCAATAGCTGTCCATGTCTTTCAGACCAATACCTGACGGAATGGAAACTTCCAACGAGCATCTGCGTGTTTGGGCGGGAGGTCTCTGTGCTGAGCTCGAAGCATCATCGTGCCCACAAGCACTCAAACATACACATCATCTCTGTCCCGCCAAACTGTGAAGCGGTTTGAGCTCAGACTTCGGCAAGGAAAGGCACATGTGCAGCACTCGTCTGGCACTGGCTTAACCCCAGTTGAATTCCTGCGTCGTTGCTTCGCTTTTCTCTCCGCGCTGGAGGTACGTCTGCCGATGTCTTCCGATCAGAAATCCCGTCGAGGCCCGAGGCCTGGCAAAGAGAACTCGAACGCCACGAAGCCTCGCACTGTCAGACTCCCG